TTWTKRTSRWYAMTACTACTACTAGCCATCATCACCACTAGCYGCACCACCAASAAAGACTTCAAATGAACAAGGACCACTTTCTCCTTSTCAAACAGACAAAGTTTGTGCTCTTGGCTGGGTTGGATACTAAAATAAGTCAGACAATCAAGAGGCTGTTGTGATCTGGCTCCCCTTGACTGTTCAATATGAAGCTACAACTAAACAATATATACCAGGTTGGTGCTGAAGCAGCAACAAAAACATTACATGTTGGTGGGTTTATGTTAACATAGCACAGAAGGGAAAATGAGTTTCTCAAAATTKTAGATTGATTCTCCTCAAAAAGTATTGACAGTACTAGTTATGGCCTTCATTGAATCAATCACGCTTGTGTGTTCTTACTAAGTCATGGCATAGCAGACTAGACGCTTACTCTAGGAAGGAGGAAATTGAAAATTATCCATATATTCATTCTGACCTCACTCAGTTTTACACCATCCTATTTTCCCAGAACAATGATTATTTACTACAATTTGGAAAGTATCAATCTCTTTTTCTATTGAATTTCTATTGAATTTCGTTGCATCGCATCGTATCCGGCCCTCGTTTTTGTTTGCTCCATTTCACAATGAACCGTATGCCACACTATGATGTGCGACAAGAAAATGTTCAGACCCGCATGATCGATCAGTGTGATCTTCGGCTGGTCAGTTCCGGTTGCGTGAAATAAGATGGGCTGAATTGAATTCATTCAATTCCAATATTCATATTTCAGTGCATCCCCTACAGTATCGCATTCACGGAAAGTAACTGGCCCCGGCGTAAACATTTTTGATTCGCCGGAGGGTGACACCACCCGCGGAGCCCCCCATCCCGCTCGAGATTCGGTCACGATTTGCATTAGATGGTGGGTAACATTTTTTGGAGAAAATATTGCAKCGCCCGCTGCAGCAATCGCCACCTCCTGTACAGTCTGCATTCCGACCGCCACARGGAGSAGTAAGGGAAACTGGCACAGGTGTTGGTGGTGAAGTCTCGACTGTTATTGGCGCGGGTGTGGGGGGCGAAGTCTCGACTGGAACTGGYGCGGGTGTGGGGGGTGAAGTCCGCGGTGGCTCTGTGACAGGAGGAACCTCCTCCTCAGGAGAGTCATCGACTTCTTCTTGCGGAGATGGTTGCTGTTCTTGTTCATCGTCTTCTTCTAGCAATTCCTCTTCACGGTTRTCAACGTTGTCATTCGGGTCGGTCACGTCAATCCCGAGGATTTCCACGCAATCCACRTATGGTGGAACCTTTTCCGCGTTTAAGACACACATTGTTCCGACTATCCAGTCGTAAAAATAAGAGATCCTTGTGTAGACCCCGGGAAACTCTGCGTCTGCGCATCCCCGTCCCCAAGAGACGATTCCCACCATTACATCTTGGTTGAAATCCGATTCRTCAGGCGTTAGAAGGAGAGGACCGCCGGAATCCCCGTAGCAGGCATCCCTCCCGGTGTCCTCGGCGCACATCATCTCCTCGCTGATCTCACCCCGATGGTCTCGGTTGCACTCAGGATTAGTTATGTATCTGACGTCGACTCGGTKKAGATTGTCTGAAAACTTAGTCACATCTTCGTCGGGGTCCACGTCCCCGTAGCCAATCACTGTCATCGCGGTTCCAACCGTGTCTATYTCTGTCGGGCTCAATCGAACAAAGGGAGCCGGCGTTCCGTCCTCGTCGGTAGCATCTTCCGACAGTTCAAAGATGGCAACGTCGTTTGAATACGTGAAGTCGTCGTACAACGGATGAACCGCCCGGTCAACCACCCCGATTTCGGTCCCGATCTTTCGRGTTTGGGAAAAAATGGCGAAGTCGCGATCGGCATCCTGGCAATGTGCGGCCGTCAAGGCAAACCGAGGGGAGATAAGAACGGCCCCGCAAAGATTGCTCCCGTTCATGAGTGCATAATAGGGGAAGCGTCCCGAATCCGCGACTTGGCCGCCAATGATTCTGGGCCTCTTCTTCGGAAACTGCAGCATAGACACGAATAAAATACAATTGTGTACCACAATGGCGTCATAGTCGTCATCATTCATTATCCGTCATTCAGCAGCAGCAGCAGCAGCAGCAGCACCACCACCACCACCACCACCACCAAACATCAACATCATCAACAACAACGACGACGACAAATACGTCACGATATGCAGGGGTGAGTCGGATCGAACGACAAAGAATTTTWTTGTGRGATCGCAAYGGTGCACACCCGCAATCATGACCGAGGAGCCATGCCACTAGCGCACTCACCGAGTCGCCCTCGAGTTCGCGTCGACGATCGCCGCCACGCAACGACGGTTTGGCGGAACCAGTTTCAGCTATTTCTCCTTGCCCCAGTCCTGATTGCGACGCCCACACCGTASATGCCATAAGGAGGATCAACATCAGCCGTTTTATTGCCGAGGAAGGAACCATTGTCGCGTTGAGCTCGTTGWTATAGAATCGGTTACGAAAGAATTCTTCGATAGGCAGCAACTTTTTTTCTTGGGAATCGATYGAACGGAAGGGACAGGTTGTGTTAAACTGCGATTGATAGAAAGTTTGCCGTATCTACGAAATTGTGTTGAATTCAGTGCTTCGAGTACAATTACGAGTAGTACGAGTAGTACCCTATTGAACAATGATCAATGCGTTGATACATGTGAAAAATTAGTGCTCATCATTGTTTGCCTTCCAATCCGTAACATTATTGCTTCCGACTTAATCATCGGTCGACGATGTTTGGCGAGTGCGCTMTACGAATTTTCAAAAAATCGTCAGCCAATCTGTGCCCTGTACATCCAGTACTATCACATCATTGGCGTGAAAACAATCTCAAAAAAATTTTGGTATTCGCCGTCCGCACCCTTGTCCTTCATGCACGACTCCAAGAATGTCAACTCCGACTACGTTTGTATGTTACTGTACTAAATAAATCGATCTGCTGGTACGAGTAACAGTTTTCGCCTTAGTCGTGTGCTTGTGCCTCATTTTCTGTTCTCATCCCGTACGGGGCGGGAATWCTTGTTTCTTCCATCGCCAACTCGTCGGCTCTATTGGTATTTGTATGTGCCGGCACGGTTGAGTTGATCTTTGCTGAATAGAGACAACAATTGACTAGCATGACTTTTCAGTCTGCGTATTTTCCCCATGTTGTGGTTGGTGTGGCTTSATACTACAAGTAGTAGTTGTGTGACTACTATGAAAGCTCGACTTCTTGTTTGCAACAACCAGCACAAGAAGAAGAAGAACCACGAGGACTTTGCAGGAAATTGTGACTCATACTAGTACTACTAGTAGTATTTATTGTTGTTTTGACAAATTTACTAGTAGTTATAGTACATATCTTCCGATACAGTACGTACGTATCCGTTGAACTCCTAGTAGTATTCTTTCTTGTTGTTTCACCACCGGTAAAAAGCAGTTTTGCTGGATTGCAGCAAAAGGCAGCAGAAGTATCTTCTTATTATGGTTTGGGGTTGTCTCCTCACAACATCATTGGTTTCATTTCCAGCACAACAAGAACGTCTGTTGGTGACTGTCAATTGCTGTGGATAGTAGTGAAGATAAATGCTCTGTGTTGAAAACACTGCCAGTTTTGTTGGCGTTCTTTGAGTCAACACCACCATAGTGGATGAGAAGAAATGTGTTTTTCTTTTTGAATCAGTATAAGAAGCACTAATGAACAATACTCAAGTTGTCAAGGTATTACAGCATGGCAAAATTCAAAATTGATTCTGCTACTTCATACTACTACTAATACTAGTAGTAGCACCAGTAGTAGTACTTGCAGAACAAGATGAATACTGACTGTTGGTGCATGTGTCACTGCATCATGATGATGAAAAAATCTTAAACATTATAGTAGTACTACTAGTAGTAGCAGTATTCTTTAAGAACCTTGTGAAGAACCAAGAGAGGCAATAGGATGGCAAGAGCCATAAATCCAGGAGATGTACTAGTAGTCACTCTGAGGGTTGGTACCTCTCTCTGGTGAGGAGGGTTGTGCAGACATGACCAGCATATTAATACAGAGTATTTTGGTTTTGTGATGGCAGTGAGAGCAGTAAGCCTTACAGCAGGAGTACTACCTCCTGTTGATACATTCTTGTTGCTCCTTGAGAAAGGATCACACAAAAGTTTATCAATGGTGATAGAAGAAGCAGGACTTATATTGCTTACTACTAGTAGTAGTACTAGTAGATGGAGGGGCATTGGGAGTATACTAGTAGTAGTACTACTACTAGTAACTGGTGCTGAGCACCAGCACCCCCACCAGTGATTTGTGATTTCTTTTTTTTTGGAGGGGCGGGGATGAGAAGGCATCATGATGAGGAACCACCATCTTGTCGATAGTAATGCAACTAGTAGTAGGATACTGTTTAGATAGAGAGGATGTGGAGTATGGAGGGGAGGTGGAGAGGACAGAAAATACTCTGTGCAAGAAGACACCCAATCAAGCCAGAAAACATGTGATCAACTTGACTTCGGTCCTCACAGCAGTGTGGCACGAGTTACTTGTTGGTACTTGGTACGCCAACACAGATGCAGTACGTCCGTACGAGAATCTCGTGAATGTGACGAATACCGGTACGTACSGGTATGTGTACGGGTCGTACTCGTACCCAAAAAGATATCGAAGACCAGAGGATCGCAAATTGATAAGACCTTTTTCTCAGTCCCTCCGAAAATCCTTTTCGACACTACTACTACTAGTAGTAGTACCACTCCGTACTGTAGTACGGTAGCTCTGAAATGAAAATTGTTTTCTCAAATGGAAAACCCGAAGATAACAAACTACAGCAGTAGTTCACAGCAGGACACGACGATTTTGAACGATTATTGAAATATATAGTAGACATGAACCCCTTTACTTTCTTTTCGCAAGCGCTTCTTCTAGCGACAATCATGTCGTCGCGTCCAGGTCGCAACCGTCGGTCCGTAGCCATGGCATTCGAACTACGGCMGTTTTCCAACACGACGAAAAATCGATTGATGATGCCCCTGCGCYTGGACAACTCAGTTCTTTCTTCCCGTCGTGCTGTGGCCCAGGGTTCTGAAGGAGGAAACAAACCAGCACCACGGGGGATTGTTCTCAACACGGCCGTCGGTGGCCTCACGTTTGCGGGGGGGGTGATGGGATATGTTACGAAGGGGAGCAAAGCCAGTCTGGTGGCAGGATCGATGTTTGGAGGTTTGCTGATGGTGTCCGCCATCCTTGTCGCTAAAGCTTCGGAGAGGAAGAGCGCAAGAGGAAACATACTGGGATCTTCGGTGTCAGCCATGCTCGGGTATGTCATGGGGAAAAAGTTTTTTGTCTCCAAGAAATTCATGCCCGCCGGTTTGCTGACAATTTTGAGTGCTGCTGGTTTCCTCTACAATCTTATCGAGGCTAAGGTTTTGGTCTCCTGGAAAGGAGATGATGAGAACACGTCTACTCCATCCGATGAGGATCATTCCAAAGATTCTACTGATGCGACGAGTACCACGGAGTAGCTGTGAACTYTGAGCCCGTCATACTGTAATCATTACTGGTATCGAACCCAACGTCAGGCGCCATTGCCTGGCGCAACATTTTACATTTTCAGAAGATATTTACCTTTCTCAATTGGAAAAATAAAAGGAAAGATTCATCGTCCTGTCGATTGTTTGACTGATCATTTAAGTATTTTTCTTTTTTTGATCATTCTATGATTTCCCATTCCTTCTTTTTTCGAGATCCTGCACAGTATAGTACTTCTTGTTGTTCTTAGTCAGTGCCAACATGACCAATTTCCAGATTTGGTGGAAAAGATTTGGTTCTTTCTCATTTACTGTTATTAAAGAATACTATGAAAGAATAAAAGAATGAAATGCTGAAATCTCTGTCCCCCCTGGGATATTACTAGTACTAATAGCATTTGATGATACTACTAGTTCTTCTTGTTGGGATTCTTCCTTGTTTTTCCCTGCTGGTGGAAAACTACATTCTGAGAGAAATAGAACTAGGATTCCTTCTTCACTACTGGAATGCCCAAATTATCTTTCTCTTGACTGGGGAGAAGGATGCTGATAGGCAATCTAAGGGGCAGTACCCCCAAGAGGGCACAGTTATGTCGTCTATGTTCACTAACTAGTAGTAGTAGGCAGTCCCAGATTGTCACAGTTTGGATGGATGAGAACCATGTCATGTATGGACAAAGCCAAAAAAATATAAAACAATTGACATGGTGGTGGTGACAGCAAGAAGCTTTACTTCACAGGCAGATGTTTGTGAAGATTTTTKWATAGGGGGCATGGAGGGAGAGGCTGAGGTTCCAGYCTTGGTACTAGTAMCAAAGGTTTGAGATAGAGGTTGTTGTTGTCCAGCATGAATGTTAGACGCAACATCATTTTTTCAAGGAGAACTGGTGCCTGGAGATACTGTTGCAGCTTCAAATTGAGTGTGACGGAACACATRTTATCAAGTGTTGTTCTTCAGTTGTCAGATCTGGAGCAATAGGTTTGGGTTGGGTTTTTGTTGTCCTCTGACACAAATATTGGAAACAAGAACAACATTACTACTACAAACATAACTGGTAGAGGGAGATAGTGCTGGGAAAAGTTCAAGCTTCAACAAGCTGACAAGTATGCAGAATATATGGGAGTATGCAGCATATATTCTGGACATTGTTCTTCTTCAAAGCAAAGGTGTGTTGGTTTAAACATGGCGGGGGTACTAGTAGAGGCTTGGGCTTCAGTTGTTATCATCCATCACAAGTACCAGACACAACAAGCAACAAAATTGAAATGACTGAGAAGTAGTACTAGTATGCTTCCAGAGCTACTAGTACAACAAGATCAAAGTAGGAGCTACTATTAGTCAGGGATGATGGAAGAGTATCAATAGCAACAAGATTCTTGGATGTAGGCTAGGGCAGAGGATTCTCTTTTTTGGAAGAGGGTGTGAAGCAAGTCAGCAGGATAAGTTTTCTGTGATGCTTTTCCTTCGGATGAAAGTGTAAATTTGGTGTACAGCAAATTCTTTGGTGTGTTTGCAAAACTTTAATTTCAAAATTGTACCAAGAAGTACTGCTACTAACACTACTGATATTTCTATAATAATAATTTGTACTGATGTTACTAGTAGTACTACTACTAGTAGTGATAGTACTACTAGTGGGCTACTRCTAATTGTATGACTAATAATACTAGCACTACCACTAGCAGTAGTACTATTAAGAGTAGTACTATTAAGAATAGTACTGCTATGACAAGTGGTGCAAACAACATTTGAAATGTTAAATTTATTATCATTATTACTATTACTACTACTACTAGTAGTAGTACTCTGAATAGTACAAGGTCAAAAATATTGCAGCACCTAGCCAACTTCTAGGAGATGTATCTATCTGAGATACCAGAGACGACAACAAGGCTAGATATAGTACTAAGAATGACTAGCAGGATAGCAACAGTGTAGAAACATCATCACTGTTAGTAGTACTAGGAAGAAGATGTACAGTAGTGATGTACAAAAATTGTGAAACTAGTATTGATTTGCTTAGTACTAGTGGTTCTTGTTATAAWGTTTCACATACGACTAAATAGTGATTTAAACTATTTTTAAAGGTAAATTTTTGAATGATCTTACTACTAAAACTAGTACTAGTGCTTGCTCTGATGGGTAGCACT